CCCCCGTAATATAAAATAGCCTTCCGTCCACTATATGGGTCATAAGATGAAGTAATTCAGAACGCGAAATTGTAACCTATATCACGAGCTGCATTGTGAATTGTGATCTATATCACGAGTTGTGATATATAAACCATGATTTGTAACCTATATCACGAGCTGAATTGTGATCTATATCACGAGTTGTGATATAAACCATGATTTGTAATGTATATCACGCGCTTTCAATATTTATATATTTGGAAGAGTAACCTATTCATCACGAGTTATACTGTGTATATTTGCAGTAATATATATCACACAACTATGATCTATTTTGTCATATTTGGCGCCTCATATTCGCGGCATGTTCAATGTCCGGTTTAACTTCAATGTCAAAAACACATGGGTGTTCAATGTCAGATTTAAGTTCAATGTCGAAAGCACGTAGGTGTTGAATGTCCTATTTAACTTCAATGTCGAAAATATGTTGAATGTTCTGCATGTTCAATGCCAGATTTATCTTCAATGTCGAAAGCACGTAGGTGTTGAATGTCCTATTTAACTTCAATGTCGAAAATATGTTGAATGTTCTGCATGTTCAATGTCAAATTTATTCTTCAATGTCGAAAGCACGTAGGTGCTGGATGTCCTATTTAACTTCAATGTCGAAAGCATGATATACATGAATATTGGCGGTGATATGACGCCATACCCCCCACCCTATATATTCTTGCAGATTGCATAATTATAATCTGAAAAGTACTTCGGAACTGAAGTGTCTAATTTTCAGGAATTTCCAAAAGAAAACAATTTTGGTATACTCTATTTGACTATGATACATATATATGTTTGTGACTCCCTCACAGTATAAATAAAGTAATACTTCAAGTTGATTCCTCACACAAAATAAAACCAATTCAAACCTGGATGACGTCGTTTCGTTCAGCCGTAATCTCGACATTACTTTGAGCTAGTTGCTCACGTTTGCTTTCCATCTCTTTCATTTTTTGTCATATTTGTTTTATTGAAGACTCGAGAGTTCTTCTGCGGCTTTATTTTTGTCAGATTTTACCGTCTCATATTCTTTAATTAAGTCACGTTCCACCTAAATAAATAAACATAATAAGTCAAGATTCTTTGAGTACTTTTCTGCAATAAAATACAAGAAAAAACATACTCCGAAGAATAACATCTTGTAAACTCAAGATATGAGCTATAACACAAGACAACAATTTTGCGGTGATATTTCGACTCTATTTCAAAGTCATTGTCAAACCAGAATAAGCTATTTACAAACTT